CACATGATGATAGAGAAAGAAAACTGAGTGCTCTTCCTGGGTCAGCTGATAGGTGACTTGACCATGGAGCAGTCAGACTGCATCTCTTAGAGAATTTAACGGTGGCCCTCAGCACAGGCCCAGAGCATTTCCAGCTAGTTTTTTATTTACTTATATAATAACTGGATAATATTGCTTGTTTGAGGGAAGAGGACTTGAAAAGGCTTTCTGGAGTGGGTCTCAAATGCCATCCCATGTTTCAGTGTAAAATAGTCTGACTTATAGTAGAAATAGAGAAGGAGGCTGGTCAACCACAAAGACAGAAATTGGATTGATACAGCCAATGTTTGATCATTTATTCCATATAAAACTATCATTTTCATAAGGTTTCAATGAGTTTTTATCACCTCTGTAGAGATCCCTATATAATTTATTACATAAATGAGCTTCTTTTTGAACTTACCAAAGTTCAAGTTTAATAAATTTATCCCAAGTCTTATCATTAGTATCTCCCTGCTTTTCAGGATCATTCATGTTGAGTAAAGCAGTTTTACTCATTTTTGGTTTTTCAATGAAAATATTTTGCTTAATCATAGTCAAAACATTGAAAACAAAACAAAAAAAATTGAAAATTTCACCATAAAGATTCATTTTTGAAAATTCAAGGTTAGACACAGTTCCAATCTTGCAGATATTCAGAGCAAGAGTTGTATTCTTCTAGATATCCAATTATTAATAGCAATGTGGTGAACAACAACAACAAAATTTGTTAAAGTCTTCTTGTTTTATTAGTGAAATCTGTTAATGTACGTTCAAAGTCCACATTTTAAGCTCTGTATCGTGACATTAAAACTAAGAAGCACATCTGGTGTTGATGAAATACGACTTCTATTCCCAGAAAGGAGTCTGGTTTTCGATTGCTGTAAGAAAACCTGTTCGAGGATTCTCCTCCATGTCTTCTGAAGGAAATAAAAGAATCATCTACTTGGGCAGATGACTGGATATAGCAGAGTGACTGTTCACTTTTGGGTGTTCCCACAGAGCTGTCCTGAGTAGGTGCACCATCTAACCATCCCATTGGGTTTTCCTGGAGTTCCTCATCCTCCCCACAACACTGTCTCTTCTTCAGACAATGCAGTGGCTATACAATGAAATTTCATTAATTTACTTTACTTTCATGACGAGGTTCAGAGTCATTATAATACTATGTAACACTTTTTTCTCTTGTGAAATGTGTTTCCTTTATTTCCACTTAGATTCTCATTCTATTTAAAAGTGAATTCCTAATATTTCTTTATGTAATTGGGATAGTGATCCTTTATCCTTATTTATATTGTGAATTTCTTTTAGACAGGTGTCTCCTTTGCTGATCTGTCACAGTATGTACCACGCTGCCCTCTGGTCCTTGGTTTTAATGAGGTTTGTTTGCCAGCATTTTCCCTCAGGGCCTGTGCGCGGTAATTCTTGATCTTGAAACTCCAACTTTGGCTGAAAAGAGATTTGTAGTCCTGCCCTGTTCTGCCAAGGTTGAAGCCATGTGAAATTTGTTTTTGCTGTGGATGTGCTAAAGAGATGAAAATCACTTTTATTACTGAGCACCTTCTATTAAGGAGTCTATCCTTTGACCATAATGCCAATCCAGCAATAAAGAAGCCGTGGATTTAAGTGATCATGTTTTCTGGGCTCTCTTTCCTGGGCAGCAGGATTGCTGTATCTACCCCTGCACTATTACCTCCTGTCTGCAGGCTTGGGGCTCACTAGTCAGCCAGACTGACTCTCTTGTAACACAGACACCCTAGAAGATTTTTAGTTACAATCACAAATGATTATCTGTTTTCTGTTAATTTGCATTTTTGGGGGGCAGCAACATTGACAACTAGGACCCTTATTTTAAATCTCTGACCTCCACTTATTGCCTATGATGTGTGTATGTGACAACACTGTGATATTCAGAAAATGTGGCTGTGAAATTCTAAAAGGAAGTAAGATATATTTTGAAGAGTCCATTTTGATTGGAAAAACATATTAGAAATGGTTGTTTGTGATAGGCATAAGGTAAAATTTAACCAAGCCACATATTGAATTAGTTTTTTTGAAGTTATATGATATTTTCAATATGTTATCATTGGCATTAGATAGGTAGATTAGATAGATAGATATGATTACATAGATCAATAGATGCATAGATAGATATAGATGATTAGACAGATAGGATAATAATAGTTATACAGGAGGATAGGATTCCCAAATTTATAAATTCTGAGAGAACGTCACCTCTGAATTACCAAAGTGCATATCCAACTTCCTGCTTTACAATCCCGTGTGGATGTCTAATAGACATCACAAATTTAACATTTCCTTAATATTATGATACGAATCTCCCCATATTTTATACATATTCACTTTCCTGTCATAGCTGATGGCAACTCCATATTTCCAGGTACTGACCATTTTCTCTCATTAAGATAACCTGATTCCTCTTTTTCTTTTATAACCTGTGCACAATCATTCATAAAAGGCCCCGCCATTACTAATGATCCAAGCCATCATCCATATAGGTTTATTTAAATGCCATCATGCCTGGACTGTCCTGAGTCTGCCTTCTCATTGGCAGGTCTTCATGCTAACTACCAGACACTCCCTCTTTGTCACCTCTTTACTCTTGTCCCTGTAATTTATTCCCTTTCTCCCCTTCTGAACTCCTTATGCTGTGGATTTTCATGTTGGTGATTCTCTGGATTGTGGTTTGAAAGTTGCTCCTCTGCAAAACTTACATTGAAATGTAGTGCCCACTGTAAATGTGTGAAGATGTGTGACATTTAAGATGTTATTTGGCCACAAAGCTTCTTCCCTCATGAGTGATTTAATGATGACATAAAAATGACTAAGATGTGAGTTGGCTCATCTGATCTTCTTCCACATGAGAAGCAACACCATTCCATCTGCAGGATGAAACACTCAGGGTGCCATCTTGGTTTGGAGACCAGACCCTTAATCAAACACCATGTAGGTTATGGCCATGACTGTGGACTTCCAAGCCTCTAGAACTGTGCACTAATAAATCTCTCTTTTTGACAAATTTCCTATCTGTTGTAGTAATTTATAGCAGCAACAAAGGCTAAGATGATCTTTTTTCAGGATTATTGTCCTTCTTTTAAAAAAATCTTTATTAGTAGAATTTATGTAAATGAGTTTTTTCCTCTTTATTTTAATCTGTGGACTGTTTTTCATTTAGTAGATTACCAGTTACACTCACTAATCACTATTCAGTCTGCCCATCCTAAATTAATTTTAACAAATACTATGCTTCTGATTTTAACACCACCACCAATAAAGTTCTGAAGCCACCAGGATGCTTGTTTCAGTTGCTCTTTGGTGGAATATTCTGAAACTTACAACTGTTCTAGGGCCATATGCATGAGCCCAGACCATGTCTTGAAACTCTTTGTCCACATTTCCTAAATATTGAAGCTCCACGCTTGCCTTTGATGCTGATTTCTCATACTGCTATCAAAAATTCAATGATAATTTCCACCAATGATCTCCTAATGGGAAGAAAGCAGATCCTGAAACCACAACTAGACAATATGGTTATGAAACATAAAAGATTAATCCACACATGTGTGTTGAACCCAGAACTGGTTACATAGAGCAGGAAGACACAGCATTCAGCATGTCAGCAAAGCTGTGAGATGTAGATGAGACAAGGAAGTGGAGAAGAGAAGCATGGACAGCCTGGATTCCCAGGCAAGGGGACCAGCCACCCTGGTCCTGCCCTTCTGTATTGTTGGTCTTTAAGGATTTACACAGCCCCAGGACCCAAATAATGAGTTTTTGTCTAATGAGGATCTTAGGGTATTGCGTCCCCGGGGACACAGAAACTACAAACACTCTGTGACCTCCTCACTTAAGAATCTTTTGTAGTCAGAAAGAAACACCAGAGGATCCTGAAGAGACTATGTCTTTGGCTCAGAGTTCATTGCCCATGCAGTCCTTCTGGCTTTCCTGTGACAGATCCGTGTCATTCCAACATCCAGAAGAAATGACGATCATCCTTCCACAATGATGCAAGCCAGGTGATGCAGTCTCCTAGGCAATGCTTTGTAAACCAGGCAGGTGTTTACACATCATCCTGGAGAACCTGGGAGGGAAATTCATGCAGGAGATCATCATCAATAACACTAGACCCCTGCCTAACACAGTCATCACTGTGACAGGTTTTTTGGGACCTTTTGAAAACTCCTCATTTCTCATTCTGCTAGTCTCCTAGTCTGTCTATATAAGGGAACTACTTTCCTCTTGAGCTCAAATAATCCCATTTCTAAAAAAGATGACTGTATTAAGATGCTCTGTCACTTCCTGGCACCCTTGTGCAGGGCAGGGGAGGCATGGGTCACCTCCACCTTACCTTCTCATCACCTCTACATGCATCTTGGTGCAAAGAGCTTTGGTGCTATTTCTGTTTCCAAGAGGTGACGACTCTATGGAAGGACTACAGACCTAGGCAGATGCAGTAGGTCACCTCTCTTGTGTATTAGTTCTACTTTATAAAACTACAGAATATTTAGTGTAGTGACAACAGCAGAGATACTGTAATAATTTTTAAATTCTGTCATTTGCCCATTTCCAGAGTTAACAAATGCTGATTTTCTGCCATACCTCTTCAAAACTAACTTGGCATAATAAGTGTGTACAGGAAATAAGTTCAAGGTGAGAAAGTACTGAAGGAGAAATAAACACAAAGAGTTCAATATTCATTTGGGTTCAACATACAGAAGCATTTCATACAGCAGCAGTTCTCAGATTTTAGCATCTCTGAGAGATCCTGTTGAATCATATACTATTCATCTTTATCCCAGAAGTTCAAAAATCTGGAGTGGGGTCTGATTATCACTATTGCTAAGATCTTACAAGGATGCGTGTGTCCAGAGCAGCAACGGTGTCACCTGGGAACATATTAGAAATGCTGATGTTCTCATTATATTGTGGTGTTACCCACCTTTTATACTAGATTCATCAAGAGCATGGAATCCAGAAACCACACAGCTGTTCCAGAATTCCTTCTCCTGGGACTGACAGATGACCCAGCCCTGCAGCCCCTCATCTTCAGCCTGTTTCTGTGCATATATCTCGTCACTGTGCTTGGGAACCTGCTCATCATCCTGGCCATCTCCTCTGACCCCCAGTTCCACACCCCCATGTACTTCTTCCTCTCCAACCTGTCCTTCACTGACATCTCTTTAAGCACCATCACGGTCCCCAAGATGCTGGTGAACATCCAGAGACAGAGCAAGACCATCAGCTACACAGGCTGCCTCAGCCAGATTGGCTTTGTCCTGATTTTTGCTGGATTAGAAAACAGTCTCCTTGCTGTAATGGCTTATGACCGCTATGTGGCCATCTGCCATCCACTCAGGTATACGGTCATCATGAAGCCCCACTTTTGTCTCCTGCTGATTGTGTTGTCCTTGTCCATCAGCATTGTGGACGCCCTGCTGCACAGTCTGATGGTGCTGAGGCTGTCCTTCTGCACAGACCTGGAGATCCCCCAGTTTTTTTGTGAACTTGCTCAGGTGTTAAAGGTGGCCTGTTCTAACACCTTCATCAATAATGTCCTGATATATCTTGCAGCTTGCATATTTGGTGGTGTTCCTCTCTCTGGAGTCATTTTCTCTTATACTTATATTGTAATCTCTGTCTTAAAACTTCCATCATCAGAAGGAAAGTATAAAGCCTTTTCCACCTGTGGGTCTCATCTGTCTGTTGTCTCCTTGTTCTATGGGACATTGTTGGGTGTGTACATTAGCTCTTTAGTTACTGACTCCTCCAGGAAAACTGTAGTGGCTTCTGTGATGTACACTGTGGTCCCTCCAATGCTGAACCCCTTTATCTACAGCCTGAGGAACAGGGACATGAAGGAGGCCTTGAGGAAACTCATTGTTAGAACAGCTTCCCTTCATTGATATGTCATTTGATTTCAATTATGCTCTCTAAAATAAATCAACGTGATGGGATCCATGGTGAGTGAGAGAATCTGATCTTTAATTTACCACATTTTTATAAAATGTGTTTTAAAAGTTGATTTTTCTTTTTTCATCTCTGTAAAATTTGACAAGTGATTTCAATTCTCTAAACATAAACTTTCTACTCTGGTGCCACATAATCTGAGACTGAAGCAGAGATTCTGTCTTAGCAATTATTCCCTTGAAATCTGTCCGAAGAAGGTAAATTAGAGAAGGTGAATAACAAAAAGAAAACATTCAGACAACACTCTCTCATATAGAGATAACGACGTCTACCTGATCATGTTGTTAGAACCACTGGAATTGTATTCTAGACTAACACTGAGAGGCAAAAGAGTGGCACTCATGCCCCAAAAAGTAAATCCTGAGCCCTGTTACTGAAAAGCCACATCCTTCCCATGCCGCAGTGCCATGCACCACACTCAGTTTCAAAATCTACAAAATTGGCATGATTAGATGATAACAGTGTTCTGACATCATTGGGACATTTTAGAAAATCATCAGTGAATGTGTCCTCAGTCCTACTAAGAAAAAGAAACTCTAGTATTAATACACTCAAACCAGAAGAGCCACCTTTTATTTCAATGGCTTCAGAGGCCTGGGCTGTGCTGGAAGAGAGAATTCTCTTTACTGTCTCCATGTGTTGCCAAATGCTCGGTCCTTGTCCCCAATGCCAATCCATTAACAAGGACACACTTTTGAGAACAAGGAAAAAGAAGGTTTATTGCTTTGGTAGCAAAGGAGAAACACAGGAGACTCCTGTCCCAAAGGCTGTGATTCTGCTCATCAGCAGTAACAGGAAACTTTTATAGAGCTGATTCAGAGAAAATGAGATTAGGAAGGAGAGATCAGGAAGCAGAAGATCAGGGAAAAGATTGAGGAGGAGAAATTTAGGGAAAAGACGCTTGGGAAAAAGAAAAAAAAAAGGTCAGTTTCAAAGCCACAAAGTGAACCCCTGTTACAATTCCCCCCGCTGTCAATTTCTACATTCCATTTTTATGGAAAGTGGGCGAGGACATCTACAAGCTACTTCCTGCTGAGAGGAGGTAAAGTTGGGGGAAGTAACCCAAAGTCCTTGTTCTCTATTAGGTGGGTTTTGGACATTTAAGGGCATTCAGCATCAGAGAAGTCCAGAGGTCCACAGTGGCAGATGGCAGGTGACTGGACAAGGCATACACATAGGACAGGGATCATGCTAAGACAACAATAAAGACAGCAAAGCATTACTTTTTTTGTATAGTTAGAACAAAAACAATTAGCATTTCAGCCAGTCTCTGAAAACCATGGGGACAGTAATTTTTAATCTTATCAGTGAAAAAAAGATCATCAATGTAAGAGATTAGGAAAATTGGTAGGTCTACAAAATCAGACTCAAATTAACTATCTTAAAACTTGTTACCCACTCTTTAAGACTCAAAATCAGGACAAATTTGCAACTCTTGTGGTCATTACTTTTAGGCACTCTCGCCCAAGAACCCTTTCTTTATAGCCTCCAGCTTTACTTACTTTGGGTAGGGCTGATAAAAGTGAATATATTAAGTTACATAAAACAAACAAATTTTAAAAACCCAATATTTTTTCTGTTGAATGTTCATGTAGGAGGCTACACTCTCCTCTCAGGTGTCTAAGAGCAGGTTGGTCAAAACTGACCTTGTTCCTATCTATTCTTAAAAGTCAGCTGAGATTCCTAAGAGGTCATACTTGGGGACCCGTGGGAAGCTTCCTGGATCCTTTAGCTTTCCTCTACCAGTGGTGCCATTGGCCAGCAGTGTCCATCTTCAGTGACCCTTCTCTTCATAGAATGTGCACTGGTTGGCTTCCTGTCTTCTGGGGTCCTCTCAATCTCCTTGATCCACTGATTGGATGACTCACTACAGTTGCAGAACCCTGAGAGGGGTCCCATTGTCCTCCGGGTTCCAGCTGACATTAGAGGGCAAGGGCAAAAACATTGGCTGCTTTTTCCTTGACCCTTTTACTTCCTTGACTTTGGTCTTAGTTTTAAACACCCAGCAAGCCAGTTTCACAGTCTTAAAGAGTGAGTAACAAGTTTTAACATCAATATCTATAGCTTTACAGATGCCACTTTCATTTAATTGGGGTTAGTATTAGTACTGGAAATCAGCATTACATAATATCTGATGGCTTATTTTCTCAAATTAACCCCATTTTTTTTTAAACAGTAGTTTTGAAAAACACTAACAGACAACAGTTACAACATTCACAAGGAAAATACAAAACAAAATTAACAGAGCAAAAACATTCAGTTTGTGTAATAGCTGTGAACCAAGAAAAATGACTTTTATAATCTTGAATCTTTACTTAATTATATATTATACTTCCTGTTTGAGATTACAGGAATCTTTACAATAAAAATCAATCTTTTGAATACAACTTTAAATGAACCGAAGTCTAGCCTGTTTTGGAGCCATTCTAACATGAAATAAAGTGGGAGGCAGAGCTTTATCTCAGGTAAGGTGGGGCTCTTCACAAGTAACACACTATAACATTACATTGAAACTTGAATCAAAGGCTAAAAGAGGTTTTAACTTTCTTTCTTTTTCTTTTTCTTTTTCTTTTTTTTTGTGGAAAAAGTGGCAGAATGCTTCCAAGCTTTACAATATCACCTTTAAATAGATTGGACTTTTCTTAATACCTTGCAAAAATTCATTTAAATTCCAATTTCAATGTGAAGAGTAACAAAATTGTATATATAACTTATTAACAACAGGTTACTTTATCCAGCTATAAAACATCAAATACACAAATAAATACCAACCAAATTTATTATTTCCAGACTTTTGCTACACCTAATTTTGGTTGGGAGAACCCCAATTTGGCAAAGTGTTCTCTGAGCTTTACATTTAACTAAGCTTAACTTTTAAAGCACAATTTAGAATCCAGAGTCTACAGTAATGATAATCACAGGTCTGCCTGGGTTAATAGAAATCAAAGCATAGCCTTAAATGTCTTATAACTAAAGTATAATTTGGAATTCAGAGTGTAATATAACAATAATCACAGGACTGCATGGATTAACAAAATAAAATGGTAGCCTTAAATCTCTTATAACTTTTAGCAAACAGTGTTAGTTATCAGAAATTGACTTAACCAAAGCAAACAGATATAAGACAGGTCTTCAAATGACAGTGTGGCCTATCTATGTCAAGTACAATAAGAGAGCGCTTATTGGTTATCTTACCAGTAAACTTATATAAACTTTCATTTTATAAACTTTTACATATAAACACTTAGCCAAAGCTTAGACAGATATAGTTCTCAGATGCATACATATACCTAGTTGCATATATTTATGGTGTCAACTATATTGTTATAACCTAAATAACAGTTGTTTAACCAGCTACAAAGTAATCATTTAAGACTTTAAAAGATGTACAAACTCTAATTCCTTTAAGACTTGGTTTCCCCTAGTAATAAAACCTAAAAAAAACCAAGAAAATTATCTCAATACATAAGAGCAGATCAACATTTGGGTTTATAGAAATCAAAGCATGGCCTCAAATCTCTTATAACTAAAGTATAATCAATAGATAAGAGGAGATCAACATTTCAGACTTTGCTTCTTATCAGTCTATTAAAGTTCAAATAACCTTAACTTCTGTGCTAATTTTAGCTAAATTAATCACAAACACAAACTTTTTGAGATTTTCCTTCTTCAAACCTTCTGTGACTTAAACTTTCAAAACTTCTTTGCATCCTTAGTTTTTCCCAATTCCATCTTGGACTTTAGCCCAAGAATATTACCAGACAAAATAATTTCTCATTCAGGAATATTTCTTTAACCTTCTAATTTCCATACTAAAATATATTTCCATACCTATAATTTTTTTAATCTTTTCTAGTTTCAGATCCTTTTTAAAATTCACATTTGGAAACAGACCTTATAAATTTTATCTGTGCATTATTTACACAACAGATTTTATTCCAGGGAGATTTGGACAAGCCAGCATGTACAAAAACTGTGCCTTAATCTTTTTCCCCCAGGTTACATTTAAGGGGTTGGAGCACAGGATAGTTTTTGAGCCTGACCTGTCTCCATTATCCTTATCACAGTGCCATCAACTTTAAATGAGTTTTCCCACTGTCACTTGCACCCAGAGACTCCTTCAGGGTCTTTTTCTTATCTAAGCATAATGCTGTGCCCTGGAGGAGGCCCTTTCCACCCTTTTCTTTAATCTTCCTGGAACATCTCTTTGCAGAGGCTGCCTATTAAAAAACACAGGTGGGCCTGAATTTCTGTCTTTTTCTTTTCTGGGTGAAGTTATTAATTCTGCAGGCATTCAGTTTGATGGGATACTATTATAGCAAGAATTGCTTTGCCCCAGTGATGAATATCCCATGGCCAAATAGGGTCTCTTGTCGGATCTTAGAAGGGGAGACTATTTTTATCCCCATGTCATGAACTGACAGTGCTGGAACCTAGTACCATATCCTTTGTGGCCAGCAAACTCCACCTTGCAGGGGCAAAAGCGGCTGGAAGGCAGGGCAGAGGCCAGATTCTTTTTAATCACTTTTTTTTTTAACAGCCCAGACAGCTTTTCTGAGACCCCACCCCACCCCACCCCAGCTTAGGGCTGGTGTCCTTGATCACAGTGAGATGATCTGCAGCTTCCTGGGGCCAGGCTGAGAAACCGTAAGAGAAGTGCCAGCTCTGGGTTGAAAGATTTAAATCCCTTTCTTCTCATGTCCTGCTGTCCTTGAACACCAGAGGCATTGCCTTTTGGCACCTTCAACTTAGTTCCTGACATTCAGACCACGTATCACGCAACTGTATCAATGCCTGTACAGACAGAATCCCTTTCACATACTTTATCCCTGACGGACCAACTTCAACCCCAAGATTGTATAATAATTTAGAGAAAACATTCAAAGGCCAGATTGTGCTATAGCAAACCATCTTTCTCTTAGACAGGCTTATCCCT